TATGCTAACACCTGACTCCAATTAGCTTTTTTGAGGTCAACTTAAGGGTTCACATACTTTTTCTTGCAACTAACTGTATATAGCATTGGACCAAAAATATATTACTTTCCCCAAAACAGAAAGGATGAAAAGCATTTCAAGAAAGCATTATTTGTCATTGGGATACTTCTTTGTCTCAGCCATGCAGCCAGTTATGAGATAAAAAGTCCAACTGACACAGTGAAACAGAACTAAGTACCTTCTTGTACTCATACACTTTACTAAACCATAATATTTTAAATTTTTTATTCATTTTTTAATTTATTTATTAAATTTCTCCGCCACCCATCTCCCCCCCAATGGTAAAAGTTCCAAAATATTGATGATATCTCCTTTTGATTTATGACTGTTCTATGTGTGATGTTTTAGATGGGTTTTCAATGCTTTTAATAACAAGGAAGCTAATAACGTTGCTTGTTAGTATAAGTGATAATAGTAAAATGTGAATATTGGACTTCCGTGAAGATGTGACAATGATGATGTAATAATTCCCATTAACAGCAAAAGAATAAGCCCAAAGAGCCACCAAAAGTACCAAAATCTGCACCATTCTTCATTCCTACTGTTCCTGGTCTTATACCACAATACGCTTCTGTTGAGCATGAAAGTGATGGACAGCAGGTAAAAAGGGAATTGATTGTACAAAAACCTCTTTGCCTTGTAAATGCCTCTTTTCTCTCGGGGTTCCCAAGTGTCTCTTAGCACTGTTTCTGGTGTAAGGTATCATATCCTCCAGTTGGTCATGTGGGAGTACTAGATTAGGGGTTACTTGCACTACCTGGTCTTGGCCCATCCTTTATTTCTTCAGTTCTGGTCTCAATTGTACCTTTAATATATGTTAACAGCATAATTTCTGGATATTGAAGTGGAGATAATATTTGAAACAAGTGTATTATGCTCCAGTTGAGGCCTTTGTCAGCTGTAGAATGTCCTTTGTCTTGCGCTATGAGCTATACTTTTTTCTTCAGAATTACGATGATGAGATAGAAGCCAACCACTAATACCTATTACAGAATCTAGTAAGAGAAGGAGAATTTTTTATTTTAAACTTTCTGAAGTTTACGCAGAAAAAAAATTATTGTTTTGATTTCTCCAAATAAGTTTCCTTTTTTCACTTACTATCTGAGATGCTTATTCTCTTATTTATGTTGAAGATGTGCGGTAAAAAAAAAAAACTGAGGGAATGCTTGTTATTTCAATGAATTACAACAGTAAAAATGGGCCAGTCTTTGGGGTAACTGTAGCATAATTCAGTGAATCTCATTCCAGTGCCCCAAAAGCTGAGCTCTTCTAATGGTTGAATCCATTGTTATGGTAGTTATGGTTATTGTTGTCTTGCCCTTCCTCATACATAGCTCTCAAAAATGTTCTGAATATGGGAGGGGCAACACTTGAGCAGAAAGGGGGGAGGCTGCAGAAGGAGGGGAGATTGTCCCTTCACCTGTAGAAACTGCTTTGTTATGAAGCGTAGGATTGAATTCCATTCCTTTTTTTTTTTTAATTTCATCCAAATTTATTTACCTTTGAATGTACTTTAAGTGATTTTTTTTTAAATTCCAGTCAAAAGTGGTAAATCTTGGAATATTGGCTCAAAAATCTGAATTCTACTTGCAGCTTGAAGAAGCATTAAAAAGTAGCAACTGTAAGTTTTCATATGAAATAATAATATACTTGGTGGTAGTTCTAATACTTTGATACAAAAATGTAGAAGAGAAAAGTATGTATTTTCAGGTGACAATTAATATATTTTAACTAACCAGTGTCAGTATTATATTGCAGCATATTAAGTCCTTTTTACTCTACTACTGTATATCATTTTGATTATGCTTACATAATTATGAGCATTTCTTATGTGTCACGGTAACGTCTTGTTGTGTAAATGTATATCAATAACTTTGGTGCAACTTGGCTGTACACCTGTTGCATCTGCATATCTACCTACCAACCTATCCATCCATCCATCCATCCATCCATCCATCCATCCATCCATCCATCTTTCTATCTATATGTTTTGTGAGACTGCCCCATTCCAGACAAACTTGAATACCAGAACAGAAATAAAACAACCATAAGTACATTGCTGATAATATCAACAGACTCATAATAAACACCTATGTATGATGGATCCCCATATTCATTGGGGCCAAAAGTACACAGCCTTGCAAAATGCAAGAAGGAATGGGACTAAACATGCTGGTGGGAGAAAGGTTTGGATGGGAATGTGGGAAGTATGCACAGATCACCCATTTCAGATAATGACCTAGAATACAATCTATGCATGTATTAACTAAGGGGAATAAGAAGTGTCCACTCAGCCCTAGAGATCCCTGGGCACAAAGATTTGTTTTTTCATTGAAAGGGATTATCTAAAGGTGTCCAAAGAAATAAATATGAAGTTTTTTGTTGTTGATTTTGTGTGCGTGTGTGTTCTCTTTATTATCTCCTACCAAAAAGCCAAAAAAAAAAGCAAGAGTTTTAGAATGGCTTGCCTCTTGGAAGTAGGAGTTTTTAATTTTTTTTTTTTTTTGCAAAGAATAGTAACCCAGATGAAATAAGTGTTCTGGGGAATGAAGCAAAACCACAGATTAAAATGAAATGCAGCAAGTAAGGTAACACACTGTAATATCTAAAATATCTAGAATATTTTCTACAATTCTCACCATCATTTAATGTTTTTACAGATAAATCTCCACTGAATATTCTGAAGGATATGGGACCATCTAATATTGAGACAGAACTGAGAGGCTTGTCACCAGATGGTGGTGGCTCTATTGAAGTGATGCAAAGTTTCCTAAGAATGATTGAAGCAATGCTGAATACAAAATGTGACTTTGAACTAGCTCAGGCATACCTTGCATTGTTTCTAAAGGTAAATACATATTTGAATATACAGCTTTCACTTTACGGGGAAAGGGAGTTGCTTGCAAAGGAAGGAAAAACGTTTGATCTTATTTATTTATGCATAGTACTTGTATAGCATTTTTTGACAATAAACTATTCAGGGTAGCTAACAATTAAAAATGCAAATACAGTTTCAGTTAAAGTAATTATTAAACTGAAAACTTAAAAGGTCTGGCCTTTTCTTTTTTTCCAATAATGTTTTCCCCATATATTTATTATAAAGCCATTTGTATGTTGCTTACTCACAAGACTTTAGGCAGTTTATAGTTAGTTAGTTAGTTAGTTAGTTAGTTAGTTAGTTAGTTA